TACAGTTCTCTTAACTTAAACAATAAAACAAACAAGCAGAAACTACAAACACAATCTCGCTGTTCCCCGTGTCACGATCAGTTAATGTCCTGCTCGCCAGAAAGTGAGCAGTGATGCTAACACATCCAGTCAGGCATGCTCTTGCCTTCATCTAAGATGGGGAGCAACTCTGATGTTCATTAGAGACACTCATCACTGTCACAAGAGAACGGCAACTCACACCACAGCAGCAGTGGCCCACCATGGTCCTCATATTCCAGCAGCAGGAAGCTTTTGGATGTAACTTGCCTTTGTAGGCAATCCCAAGCCTGGCTACTGCATTTAAAGCTGAGGCCAAAGTTCTGTTCTTGATTCAAAAGGCACTGCCTGTATGGTGAGAGCGTAGCACGTGTGAGGATTTCCAGGACTAAGGCTCAACATGGTTGTTTCTCACACAGGATTTCACCCAGTCATGTGGAAGTGAAATGCTACCACACACCAAGTTGTTTTGCCATCTGGACACTGCAGGAAGCATTTTGCTTCTCCTAAACAGACTGAGATCATCTTTCCTCATTAGCTAGGTCATTCAATGGCTAGCTATTGTGCCGTGTTATAACATGCACACTCCAATGCCTAATCACTTCAGACCAAAAGCCTCCAAAATACAAAAATAAGGACAGATCCACAATTTTACATTTCTTTGCTGAAAGATACCCCAAACTCATGTTCAGTGCTACTTGGCAGTGTGAATGAGCTCCATTCAGGTCTTTTACTCAGCAGTGGCAGTGATTGGCAGCTCTAAGAGAAATACCCAGATGTTCCTGTTCATTTCTTGCCACCTTGCAGGACTCTGGCAGCTGATTGTAATCCAAGCGAGGACTCATAAAACCAGAAAGAGGGGGTAATAAAGGCCATATATGCTGGGAAGCCCATGAGAACAGGGAACAAGCTGTTCTGTCAGTGACTCAGAAGCAACCTCCTCCCTTAGGAGTCATTTTATGGTTTTTTTGTAAGAGGGCAGAACTTGAATTAATGAGAGACTTGCTGGATATAAGTGATAATATTCTATTTGGGAACTTGCATAGTCAAGAAAAACAATCTAAAAAATCTCTGAGTGCTCATAAAAATGGGTAGAACTAGAACAATGTAGGCAAGTTGGATCTCTAAACCCTTTGGCCCATAGCAGGTGCAATTGCTGGCATGCAGGTAGAACTCAGTAGCTGCCAGGGATGAAGCAAACTGAGAATTGGTTTCAACACTGAACATCACCAACAAGCCTGAGAGAGAAAAGAAAAATGCTGAAATAGTTCTAAATTAGTGGATTTCAAAACACTTGTCATTGATATCAAAAAGGACAATTTGGCACAAAACTCCTTTCTTCCTCAGTCTCTGAGGCAAAACCTTTGTGTCTGCAGTGCTGTTTTGTACCATATCAGATTCTGCAGCAGTGCAAAACTGCATGTGTTGACCCTTCCTTTTGTCCTGCCCTTCTTCCACAAGTGGTGAAATTGCAAACTATGGATAAACAGCAATTCAGAGATCAGCTCTCTGTAATCCTAGTTTCCTTCAGTGCATGTACTCAGAAGGGACAGCATCATAGACCTTGTTATTTTATCAGATGACCTGGGCAGAAGCACAGCAGAGTGCTGTGGAGGGCATCACTGGAGGTAAATATGGGGAAATAGGACAAAAATTCTGTAAGAATTCAGTATCTATTTGTTCTGCTTTTGACAGAGCAACGTGTTTGTGCAAGACAACACTTGCAGCAAACTTCAGATTTATAATGCTGGTGAGCCCTAACAGCTCACCAATAACAATAACAGCCCTAGCAATTTCCCTGTATGGTTCAACAGGTTTTGTTTCAGAAACTAGAGGAAGTATTACAATTATTACTATGATTAATGGATGGTGTTCTATTGCCCATTTCCTAGATGTGTTGTAGCTAATTTTAGCCAATGTGCATCAACCCTTTGTGGAGTCATAAAGTTATTTGTTGTGAAAACACATCAATCTCTAAGGAATGTGCAGTGCTACAAGATGGGCACAAAAACTTAAGATGCTTGAGACAGAGTCTCAGTGTCAATAACATGTCCATGCAAAACATACCTAGAAACCAGTACGGGCAACATTTGAGAGAGCTGAGTTGGTCAGCTCTACAGAGCCCAAAATAATCATCCGAGGAGGAGAGCAGAAATAACATGCATCAGACATGCAGTCGTTTTGGCTGAGTCCTGAATCCATCCATCCCAAAGACAACTTTGTAGATGACTAAATGACAGGTTTGCTTCTGGAATGCAGCATTTACTACTGATTTGAAGGGATGGTGCCACAATTGATAAACTTGACAACTGCTATTTAGCTGGCCCCTCAGGGAGATTGTGACCCTGGGGGAAGATGGTCTTTCTTGATACTTAAGATTAGGTTGAACTCCTGGGTGATGCTACAGAGGTTGCCTCCTAAGCATGTGATGGTGTTACAGTCACCAACAAACAGGAGTTTCTGGCTGATCTCTTCAGTGACCCTTGCATGATCTCAGTTGCTGTGGATAAACCAGTGACCACTGTCACCGTTTGTCACAGTCTGAGGAGGACAAGGCCCGATGACTGAAGACAGCGGGGTTGAAAAAGGGAACAACTACTTGGTCCTGTATTAATTCTGGAAACCCTTGACATTTGTGTTCCTAAACCATATCCTGTGTGAATGCTGGCATGATTCTTGCAGATGCTCAGACTAAAATTAATCACTACAGCCACCAATTGTTATGCATATCAACAGTAGCATAATCTGAGCCACACAGTTTAACCCATAACTTGCCTCTACTAAACTGATCCAGGCAGTCATTCCTGTAAGGTAGAAGCATAGTAGGAGAGATCTGAGTGGATAGTGACTTTCTTCTCTAGCTGATATACACTGAGTTGAGAAAGCAATCAGACACAAGATTTCTCATCAAGTCCCCAGTTAGGGTAACATAAATGGGTGCTGAGCAATCTGTGTCTCCTGTTCTTTGTCTAACTTCAGGTTTTGCATCAGTAATGTCCCAAGTCAAGGTGAGAGTCATCTCATCTGACATCAGAAGTCTCCATCTGAGCTGGCCTTTATCATCAATGAAGTAGGTACTTGTAGGCATGAGTCATCCACCCTCTTTGAAACATCTGCATTGGGCTCAGATGACTCACTGCTCTTCCCATTTACTACACAGTTATGCCTAGTAAAGTGGGCCTCTCAAACTGGAAATAGCCCAGTTTCAAGTAAAGTGCAAATATCATAGAAATACCTCCTGTCCCTGGCTTCTATATAGCCAGCTGATAGCCATCCAGGGAACTATATTTTTATTGATGTTTTACAGTCACATGTTGCTGCTATCTTTTAAATTATATTTCTACAGCCACCTTCTACTCCCAACGAGTGACTACTAAGAGTCCAAAGAACACAAAGAGTGGACACAGCAAAGAGAGAAACTAAGACATACAACTAATTCTGCCAGCTGTATGAAAAAAAAGAAAGATTGCCCATAGGATTTTTTCACTCCTGTCTCTTTTCTTTAAAAAAAAAAAAAAAAAGCAGTTACTTATGACAGCAAAAGAGACTTCTCCAACAGAGTGAACTTAGTGGGCACTGTCCATTTAAATTAAATTTTTCTAATCAAATAGTTAACTTCATCAAGCAGCCAAAATCAATGCTTTGTATTAGACACGGACTCAAACTCATTAAGGCTTTATTATTCAAGCATGCACCTCCCTTCAGCTTTTATCTTCCCTCAAGGGTTTTCATAGTAAAGCAGGCTTTTTTTTTTTAATTAGCCCTTCTGCCCTGGAGTCTTCTATTTGATTTTCCAGTATCCAGGGAAGTATTGTTTTTTTCAACTACTCAATCCTTGAATAGAAAATTTTGCCTCTTAGTTCTACATTATCAGTGATAATAAAACTTCATGGAAGACATTTTGATAATGCAGAGACAGAAGTGCACAAAGGCAAAGCGACACTTCAAAGGAGCATTAGCTCTGATATTGGAATCTCATTTATCTAACTCACTCCTAAAGGACAAGTTAGCAATTCACGAGAGTGCAGTTTGCACGCACACATGAAGTGGCATGAAAGGCCTTTCGCTTCAGCAGAGCTGCCTGATCCCAGTGCCCTTGAGCTTGTGGAGCTTTATGAATGCTGTTGTTGTATTTTTATTTTTCCTCAGCTTTCTTTATTTTCATATGGAGAACCAACTGCTTGCTTAGCTGTTTCTGCATGTCCTGTGTGGGACCCATTTGAAATGGTTGTATAAGGGCTATGGTTATTGTACAAGGTGTAATCTGCAGGTTTGCTGCTTTCCCATGTATGCTGAGCAGCTTGTGACTGCTCACCAGCCCATGACTATCCATCCAGATACACGTCTCGGTGTCAAGGATGCTGTGCCTTTGCTGCTTAACCGTGGTGTATCTCATCAACAGGATAACCAATGCACACATAGCAGGGCGTTATTAATCAATGTTTGTGTATTCAGTGGGGATGACTATATGTCTTATCCACTGGAAATACCACATGCACCTATTCAAGAACTATAATTTTATTAATAAGGGCATTAGAGCATGTTGTCCAAGGCACTCCTCAAAGCTCAATCCACATGCTGGACCAGATTGCTGTCACTGACTGGTGAGCCTGTAGGGTGGGTACCACCCTGTAGGAGCACCATTGAACCTCGAGTTGCTCACAGGGGCTCATCCCAGTGTCTCTCTCATCAAGAGAGAAGGGCTCATCTGTTGTAGCAGCCAGGGCTCCCAGAAGACAAAGAGGTCTAAAACTGCTGTCATCTTTTCTATTATTTCCATCCTTTGCACAATGCGTGCCAGCCTTGAGTGCCAAGGCAGACATTGCACATCTGTGGCACAAAACAACCTGAGCTGGGTCAGACAGACACACCCCTGGTAAATTTCCATTCTGGCAGGTAGCTAATGCATCTGTCTCCTTCCCTTTACCAAAGGCTTGCACTTACCTTACTTCCATGCTTGAAAATTGCCAACATCTCCTTACCTTGCTGAAAAACTGGGATGTCAAAACTGAGACCAAGAAGCAAAAGCTTTCAGCAAGAGACAAGCTCAGGAGACAGTGTGACTGGGAACAAGATATTTGGTGAAGTTTTATCTCAGTTATTTTCAAACTAACCATCGTCACATGAAGAAAACTCAATGTGAACTGTCAGCAAATTGTTCTCCAAAGCACAAGACAGTTTCAGGCAGTAACTTTGAAAGGAAACTGTTCTCCTTTTAGTGGAAGAAATGTCTACAAGCAGACATTTAAATGTCTATGCAAATTAATTCATTCAGTGATCATTTTTCTCTTGCTAATGAGTTTATCCATATTCTCCCAAAATCCCCAAGGCCTGGGGAATTTAAGGTTGTGCACTGTTTTGGGGAAAACCACAACAATAGCAGATGAAAAATGGAATTTTTAGAATAGTGTCAAAGAACTGAAATTGGCCTGAAATGGCTGTCAGACTGAAAATTTTTGCCTCATTTTCTTGGTCCAATCAGCTCAAGTCAGTTTCAAAGTCAGTTGCTTCTTAGTGTAAGCTTGTCAGAAGCAAGTCCCAGCCCAGCACAGAGGGCTCTGAACTGTGCATGAATTTTCATACGTACTCTGTATGTTTTCATATTTAAATAGGGTTGCCACAGAATTTATGATCCATCCTGCCAGGACTTTCCCAACAAAAGAAGACTTAAGGCAGAGCTTAGCACCATCCTACTCCCCACATGGGTTTGGAGATAGTTTTCTTCATTCTGCATCACCAGCATGAGAGATAATTTCCTCTACAGTTGTGCACGCTTCTCTGCCTTGCATTCCTGCAGGATCCACACATGAAGAGAGAGGGCTGGCAGCCGGTGGCTAGCTTTGCTGTGCCTCATGTGTACTTACTTCTCTTTGTTCTTCTGTCTTTTTGTTCTCAATTTTTCCAAGGGTGTCAGTTTAGCAGTGGATTTTGGTATGTTGCCCTATCTGAACCTGTGTGATTTTGCTGAGCACAGTAAGCCAAGTCAGGCTAGCTCTTGCTCTTCTGGAAAGTTCTGTACCATACTGGACAGTAACTAGAAGTCTCCAGACTGTAGTGTCCCTTGTGCTTGTTCCAGCCTGTGATGGGGATTCCCAGCCCCTCTGACTTGACACATTACTTGGATGTGTAAGAACTTCTAATCCTGGCTGCTTCTTGTCGTTAATCACAGATCCTTGGTACCTTAAGGAGCCCATGGGGACACAGGTTTCATAAATGTGTGACCCAAGGATTTCATGTGCTCCCTGTTCAGAAGGTGGCTGGCTGGAAAACTGAAGAATATGCTGCTTTTAAAATGCATGCCATGAATAGCATTTTTAATACAGAACATTAGCTTGGAACATTGCTAGCTGACTGAAAAGGAAGCTTCTTTTTTAGCCAGACCATGATTAAGACCATGCCAAATATACCAGCTATGCCTGGTATCAAAAACAAATACTTAGCTCTCAGGAAATCTTTAGATCATTAGCATATCTAAAAGTGCCTCAGGAAACAGGAATGCTTCAGGCCTTTAGTATGCACCTAGTCTACCCTTCTGCTCCATGGTAGAATCAATTAGATGCAAACTAAATTTTTGACAAGAGTTTTTTTAAGTCTGCTCTTAGAAACCTTTAGCGACAGAGACTCAATAACACCCCAGTGTCTCACAATGCCCACAGTTAGGAAACTTAATTCTCTGGTCTAAGTCTCCCTTGCTGAAACTTAAGTTCAATTTTCTTTGTCCTGCCTGTGGTGGAAGGACCATTCCCTGCCCATCAGCAACAGCATGTTTGAAGGCTGCAGTCCTCATTCTAAATCTTCTGTTTTCCTTTCTGGTCTTACTGAGCACTATCCATTTGTACAGTCTTTTCTTATTGGTAGTGTTATTTAGATACTCCTACTCCCCTGGGTCATTGCTTTCCTTTGAATACTGAAATACATCAAGTGCTTTTGTTTTGGTGTGCTGGTATATGCCAAATACAGGTCGCCAGCAGAGCTGTGGTGCTCCCAGTGTCTTATGGATAACACTTACCCAAGTGAACCAAGTGTCTCCCACACATTGTCACCACAGTGTGTTATCATCCATGCATGTTAAATTGGAAACTGTCACCCGGAGGTCTTTCTGCAGAGCTTCTGGTGGCTAGGAACACCAAGAGCTACAGAAGTAAAATGGCTGAAGCAGTGCCCTCCAGATCAGAGGCAGGCGTGGGAAAAGGCAAGAGGAGGTTGGTTTTAGAGAACTGTGTGAAAAGCAGCGAAAGAACAGGATGTGGGAAAGCAAGTGCCAAGGGTTCACAGGGAAGCCCTCATCAGAGTTGCAGCCAGTTCCCAAACCACTCTCCTGCATTCCAGCCCATCTTGGAGTTTTCTCTGTTTGGTCCAGAGAAACCAAAGCACTCACAACCTTAAAGAGGTCCATGAGGTGGTGAAGGCCATTCAATATCAAATTCAGATACACACCTGGAGTCCTCCATGAGGGTTATTCTGCTGTGCCAGAACAGAGTTCAGAAGTGAAACCAGCCAGCAAAGAGAACACTCAGGGCTGTAAGGGTGTGCCAGGCTCACTCACAGTCTTCACAGCACTGTGGCTCATCTGTGCTGAGCGCAGCCCCCTCCCTCGCTCCCATCTCTGACAGCAATGGGTCATGGGGGTACAGTGCTGCATTCAGAGAGGTCACAGCACAGCGTGGTGACAGCACCAATGCAGGGTCAGAGCACAGGAAGGGTGACTGATGCAAGCAAGGGTGGGGAGTGAGAACACAGAACCTGCAAAGCTCTGAACATATTATGCTCTCTTGTCACCAATTTTCATTTGCATTGAGAAGGCAGCTTTTTTTTCTAATCATTGCCAGCACAGAGCATATTTCCTGGCTATTTTGAGTAGTCCAGTTAAGTAAGATGTTCACATTGAAAGCTATATTGCTTGGAAATGAGGAAGTCTGTGCTTGAAGAAAGCCACCTTTTTGTTTTTCCTTGATGCCCTATTGTTTGTCAGGCACTGACAATGCTCGATGCCATGTGCGCAGCATCCATGCCTGGAAGGAAGGCGTACTCCGGTGAAGAGCGGCACAAGGCTGTCATCCTGGCTGCAGAGAAACAAAAGCTCCAGGAGGCACTGCTGTCAGGAACAGAGGGGACAGAGGGCCTGGCAGCTGTCACCCTCCGAGTGAAGCTCCCTATTCACTCACCTCCTGCCATCCATGCTGATCTCGGCTCCAGATATTCCCCCCTCCCTCTACTTGTCACTCATGAGCCCCCAGGGATGCTAGTGCCACACCCTCTCCCCTGCAGCAGCAACAAGAAACCCTGTTCTGAACCCGGTTTAGTAGGAAGCCTCACAGCAATAATTAGAAAAGATTCAGGATTTGGTTGGGGTTTTGTTGTCTGTCTTGTTGTGGGTCTGCAGCAATGAGCCAGCTCCCGTGCCCCCAGCATAATTATTTATGAATGTTCCACAGAGACCAGGTCCTGTCAAGAAGTGATTAAGCCAAATGCTCGCTGGCTGCACCCCTTGGTTGTTGTGGCAGTCATCCTCACTGATCACTGGCAGAACAGGATACTGCCCTTATTAAAACAGACTAGCTAATTGACTCCTCTGGGAAGGAAAGAATTCCAAATCCTCATCTGCCTGGAAAGCAGCGGACCCCAAATCCCTGTTTGTATCTCTATAAAAATACATGCATAGGTGTTCACATAACTGTAGTTAACGCATACACACTGGCATGTGCACATAGGCATCAGAGAAAGGTGATAATGACATCTTGAGATCTCCTGCATTGTGTGAGGCAGTGGGCAGCTGATACGGTGGTAGGTGGATCTCACCAGGCAGAGATGACAGCTCAGTACAGCTGTTTAGGGAAAGAGAGACAAATAGCTGAGCCCCTTCACACTGGCCCCTGATGGATAGCCCCTGCCTTGCTGCCCCCTTTGCTATGCCACAGTGTCGTAGACCTTCTCCCAGTTTGTGGTCTCACAGGCCAGCAGCAGGACAGAGGCTTATCATTCTGTATTTACAATATTCTGTATTATTTGCACTCTTAGAAAAGCAGGAGCACAGCTTATCCCATGTCTTGGAGCACTGCTATCAGTACTTGGCCCACTGATCCATATTTCTGCAGAGTGCTGAGACTTGTGAGTGATGTGGCCACCTCAAACCTACATCTTCTATCAGTCACATATCCTAGACATCTGATATGGTGTGATCAGTGCTCTGATGAGGATATGAGAGGATAAGGATGGATGAGGAAGAGACACTGACCTGTGATTTGTCTTCTGTTGTGCAGTAAGTGCTAACACCAGAAGTTTCAGTATGTGATGGAGATGTGTGTTTTCTCATATGAAACTGAATTTTGTTTCCCTTTCTGACAGGTCTCTCTTGTTCAGGACACAATGCAGCTCCCATTCTGATGGCTACATGCCACTTCTCCTCTTCTACTAAAAGGAAATTAGGCTAAAAAGAAAAGGGGAGGAAGGTTTCTACAGCTATATCGGGTCCCCTCCATATGTGTTCTTCCATAAGTACTAATTGAGTGAGATTTTGGACATCCACATCCTGTGTTAAGTAACACATTCCAGCACTTGAGTACATTTTGGTGAAGAACTTAATTGAACTTGCCTTCTGCTAGTTTTATTTAATTTTCTCATCCTCTTGTATTGAAGGAGAAAATTAAATCCTTTTTCCTGTTCTCCACAGTCACATCACTTATTACTTCACAGACCTTTAGCATCTCCCCTCTGTATTTTCTCTTTTACAAGAAAAAGAGTCCCAGAAACATTTATCAATGTTAAGTTTTAGCTGCCATTTTATTGCCTGCTCCCCTTGCAACTCTTTGCATTTGGTTTTGATTTTATTACACCTATTAATTCATTTTCCTACAGCTATTAACTTGAACTTTCACAGATGAAGAATGGGTATATCCTGGAGCCATGGCTCACGTACATCACAGGTGAGAGTCCTTCTGCTGTGTTGGAAGGGCTCTTCAAAGCAGGAAGTCTCAGATCTGATTTATGATGTCTCCAAGGAGAGCTTAATTTGTAACTCCTGAACAGAAATTCCTAAAGATTTCAGGAGCAGTTAGCCCCACTCTTCTGGCTGAGCCTCATGCCTTGAAACAGAGAGGACCCACTCCTG